TAAATTCATTTTTAAAACTGCAGTAAACAGTGTAATGTAAATAAAATGAGACCAAAAATCGATTCCTGGAAATCAAAAAAGTAAATACAATTCCAAACGGACAAGATATTTGCATAAAATTAATTATACTGGTATGGGTGGGTGAAAGGCACTTACTTAATTACTGTGAATTCTCAATGGACAGTGCTTACATAAAAATCAACTTTCCGATTTATTCAAGAAAGTTTGCCAATTTCACATTTTTAGAAAGCTGCCTCTTAAAAAGTCACAGGGCCAGTATTACTCTTCTGTTAAGAATGTTTCCCTCGTGTGAGCATAATGAGAGGACGACTCAGTTAAATCCAAGAATTGGGGAGCTGTGACCGGGTCGGTGGGTTCCTCCCCGGCGGGAACAATGTGCAGGTGTGTGGCACACTTCCTGGGTGAAGGACACAACCACAGCTGAGACCTCACCTGACAAATGCAATCACTGCAACCCAATTGTATGACCCTCACAGTGTATGTAACCTTCCCAGTCAAGGGAATGTTAAAAGATGTCTTGTAAAGGCAAGTAGAAAACTTTTAATGAAGTATAGAAAAAAACCAGAATGTTTCCTTCACATAATCAGTGATTCCAAATGGTAATCTGTATATCAAGATCTGATGGGTATAGAGTATTTTATACTGAGGAAAATGTAAAATATCAGCAGACATTTTATTGAAAACATCTAAGATGGAATTACTTATGTACTTTATTGAACTTCTTATACAGATAGGATTACTTGAGATTAAATATGCCCTCTTAGCAACCAACACGGTGGAAACTTTACAAATAATTACAAATAATTCATACCAACTGAGATATCAAAACTTGTGAATAAAAGTCTTTACAAAGAAACATAAGAAAAATACTAACTCAAAGATCTGCTCTGTTATAGGCCCTGGCAATAAAGGTATTACCTTCAGTACCATAACTCAATAGTGATGTATTGATCTGTGTGCTAAATAATTAAGACTAAATTTTATGAAAACAGCATAATTTATAGACTACCTGTGTCTTACCATATCATATTGTATATTATTCAAGTCAAAGGTCAACTAACTTCTATTGTAAAGGGGCAAATAGTAAAGAATATTGTGTAGGCATGGTAGTTGTGTAACAAGAAGAAAAACAATTTTAATAAAATTTTATTGATAAAATTTGAAATGTAGTACTAATAAATAAGCAAACTTTTTGTCATTCATAATATGAATAGATGATTAAAATTTGAATTTGGTATGATCATTTTGCACTATGAAAAATCCTTCTTTTAATTTTTTCCAGTTAAAAATGGAAAAATCATTCTTATCTCCTGGACCATACAAAAATAGGCAGCAGGCCAGTTTCAGCTATGGGCCATAGTTTGCCAAACTCTGAGATAAATATTACATGGTCTTACAATTGATGCTATATAATTGTATTAATCCATTTTCATTAAAAAAGTAACCCAATTTAATCTTGATATACAGAGTAACTCTAATATAAAAATTGTTCATATGCGATATAAATTCCAAAATTAATTTCATAAGACAATAATTGTATTTATTTCTTTGAGCTAGAACTAAGTGTTATGGGAAAGCCATGTTTGATGCCATATTAGCCTATGAGCTATGTTATCCCAGAGCTAGAAGGTGCCCTTATCAGACATTATGTGGGATTCAGGAAAAAAGGGGGAAGAACACACCAAAAGAATGACAATAAATCAACCTTGCTATTAGAAATGTGAGGCAAAGTACAGACATCCTTCTTTCCTTTATTTCAATTAAAGAAAAGAAAGAACACAGTGAGAAGTTAAATTCTAATTAAGTCATTGGTAAGCTGCTTGGTGAGCATTAATTATTCTCAGAGTAAGGCTCAGTATACCTGAGGCTAGAAAGCCCCACCACATGACCTGCCAGAGTAAAAATAAAGGCAAAACTCTTCCCAGCCTCACTACTTACACCTGTTCCTTCTTCTCTGGTAAGTTGACCCTTCCCTCAAGAATGTCTGAACATTCAGAGACTGTAGATTCCTAAGAGCGATTATAAAATGCCTCCCTTTTTAGGGGCTACCTCTCAGTACCAAGTAAAAGAACCACCAACAGCCAGTGCAGCTCTCAAAGAGCAAGCCTTTCTACAAGAATCTGTCTCTCAACTTTCATGAAAAGGACACCTCAGTATAATAACAAATTCCTCTGGAGCAAAACAGAGAAAAGAATCAGGGCTGGTTCAGTACTTTTGAAATGTCACACAGGCACCAGTAGGCAGAGAAGGCTGTCCATTCAACATATTTCATCTTTAGACATAGGAGTCCTGAACATGGCCAGCAAAACAAGCAAGCACATGGGCCTCGTAGGTTGTACATGTTTATATACATATACGCACACAGGAACTATCCATGTTGTGAGCCTGTATGTGCATGTGTATGTATTTGCATAGAATCCTTTTAACATAAAGTTTCCCTGCTGATCAATCAGATCAATTCACGTTCAGAGTATAGTCTGCCTAATCCCCAAGCTACCCTGGGTTGACAGAGTTCTGTCCCCCAACAGTTTCACACTGGCAGCCTTGGACTGACTCAGAGGACGGCAGCTTTGCTTCTGGTGCATCTTTTGTAAATAAAGGGAAAAGGTCTTTGTGTTTCCCTGAAAGACAGACCTTTAATCTTCTTTATTTCTGTCTACCCCTCCCTGATTTTAATATTGGTATTCAAAATTGATTCAGTTTTCATTAATATAAAGTCCTACCCTGATGAATTATTGGACTGATTATAATGCTTCAGAAATGCTTATGCAGGTTCATGATTGCTTGGTCCATAACCAAATTCCAGCCTTGCTAGGAAAAATAAATATTTGTTCTTCCAAAAAAGATAAAACACATGAAATACTTTCAACCATGGCTTGATAACAAGTATATCTTGCTTTAAAAAAAAATACTATGTATTGAGGAATAAAATAAAAATCAGGAAATAAAATATTTTCTTTTATATATACTGCTACAAATCGTACTGTCAAAATATAAACAAGAAATCACTAAATGCAATTTTAATTATATAAATTCATTTAATGACATTTTTGACACTTGGACAGTCAACTTTTGACATGAATGTATGGTAACCAAGAATTCCAACTTTAACATAGAAATGTCCCTTACAATTTAAATTTTTATAGTTTCTGTAAAGTTCATCAAATGTTTAGAAGGGCATTAAACTACTCCTTGACCAAAGCAAAGCTGAATGAATAGAGGATCAGGACTGAAATGTGAAGGGTCAGCAAGAGGCCCGGGCAGGACAGACATGACTGCTGCACTTTCCCCAGATCTCCTCGGCAGCTCCCCTTCCCTTGCCTGAGAAGACATATTACCAAAGAAAGCTATTTAAAGTTGGTCTTCAACTTACACCTTTTACTGGGCTTCAATGAAACAAACAGACATGAACAAGTAGTAGCCCAATTAATTGCATTAATGTATTATAAATCCAACTAGAGATGGCAGATTGGAAAGCTGGGATGAGTGTAGGCCAGATGCAAGCCCTGCTTTTCTTAAGGAAGGATGCTCGGGGTGCTGTGCTTTACATTGTAAGAGTGACCTCTAGTGCCTTTCTTTTTGGTTGAACTTCAGTAGTTGGAAGATGACTTTCTTAAGCCTTTTCTACAAAACTTCTGTTCGCATGTAGGCATCTGTATTGCTGTGGTTTGTTGCAATGTTTGCAAAGTGCTACCATTACAAAATTCCAAGATTTTGACTAGGTGAAATTATGCAAATCTTATTGACTTACGAGATTTCCACAAGCCCACGTTAAAACTGAATCTTAAATACAGTGCAGCACCAGGAATGAAGTTCTCTTCTAGGGGCTCATTTTAAATGGAAACATGAAATTGCAGCCTGCGTGCTGTGTGAACGAACCTTTGGCTTTTGCCAATAAGTTCACGTGTTTCCTACATCAGAACCCCTAGCAAAGTCAAGTGATACACTATCACAAAAGCCTCATTACTGACCTGCTTCTCCCCAAACTAAACCTGGTGACACAGCAGTGACATAAATTTCTGGACAGGCCTCACAGCCCTGTCTTAAAAAGCAAATGAGCTTTTCCTTTAAAATCCAAGAAAGATACAAAAAGTTGTATTTGCTAAGCTTGTTTATTATTCACTGGGAAGGGAAAATTCTTTCATTTAGTGAATTTTAACTTTTAAAACTTTTTCTATCTCTAAAACAATGTAGATGAAAGGAGTCCACCAAGTTATTTTGGATGATATTTAAATTAGAAATAAGGTTGTAATACATCTGCCCAAACTTGATTATATTCGATCATAAATTCATGAAGTTAAACATTCAACCACTATAGAATACTACTTTTGGAAGATCACCTGAATGGTTTTCCCTTAAGCAAAATGTAGAAACCAGTCCCTCTTCCAGGAGTGCTTGGAGACTCATCTCCTCAGCACCGGAAACACGGCTGTTAATACTGAGGTCTGCCTCCACCAGTTCTGCTGCTCCTAAAGTCTGCAGTACATTTCAGTTATTAGCCTGCATCATTTTAAAGATGCAGCCAGCTACTGTGCTGCCAAATTGCAAACTTCAGAAACCTAAGCTTATGCAGCATAATGTCAAGTCTGTCTGCCTGTTGTTTTTCTGTTAGACATAATTCCACTACAATTCAATAATCCTTCAAAAAGGAAAAAAAGAAGACATTTGAGGCTAGTCCCTGGTTAAGATGCTAATCTGATGTTTTACGAGAACTTAAGCTTGCTCAATGAATATTCAAAGACAAGAGAGTAGGATTCTGCTCCTATACAAAAAGAGAAATGATACTTTGCCTATTTTGACCAGACCCAGAGGAAAGACAAGAGTAAGCCAGTCATATTTGCAGGATTTTGAGCGATGCTTCATTTATACCAATATGCTCTGCAGCAATTCCAGTCACAAATAATAATCATAAAAATGACAGAATCAAAGTTTTGCAGAGAGCCCCCTTACAAGTTTTAAATCATTTGCTGTATACTTACAGGAATTCCCAGCTTCGACTCTGTTCCAATTTTGAGTAGATAACAGAAGTAGCATCTTAAGGACAGCTCCAGTGACAGACCTCATGTTCACATTTATCAGGCTCCCCCAAAAGATCTGGAGAGGTTCTCTGGGCGCTCCAGGTCTGTTCTCTGTCCTCTCCCAGATCTGTCTGCGTTTTCAGCACCTCTGAGTCTCTCTGTCTCTCTCTCCTTCCCTCCCTTGTCTTTCCTCTTTCCCTCCTCTCCCCCTCTCTCTCCCTCTCTCCCCCTCTCCCTCCCTCGCTCTCTCCCTCTCCCTCCCTTTCTCTTACACACACACCCAGCCCTGACTCCTCACGGAAAAGCACTCAGCATCTTTCCTAACAAGCATCCACACTGCCGAAGCCACGCCCACTCCTCGCAGCAGCGGTCCCAGAAATTGACAGCAGCATCCCTCCTTCCAAACACACAGCAGTGCAGCGAGCTGCACCACGGGCAGTGCGCCACCCGCCCGTGCAGGTGATGAGAGCTGGACCTGCGGCCTCCTGATGATGGGCTTCCTTGGGGCTCCCTCCCCTCGTCTCTATTTCTCAATAATCTTTAACCCTTTTCTGTCTGCTGGAGAGGTGGGTGCGGGGAGGGCTGAGGCAGTTGGAGGTCTTGCATCTGGCAGAGCCAGCCAACATACAGAGCTATTCCTGATTATCCAGGAGTGCATCCAGGTAAAATTGCATTATGTTTCCAAACAAAAGCACAAAATAAGAAATAAATAAGCTACATTGGTAGATCGTAGCTAAAACTATCCACAGGAGAAATATTTGCTATTGTTTTTTCTCTGTTTCTGTAAAACTATCCTCTTTAGCTAAGGTGCTAGATTTTATTGTGGAAATGCCTCACATGGGAACCCGCATTCCTGCTTGGCAGGTATTTAAAATCATCTGGTAATAGTCTGCAACAAATAAACATTTCTTATTTTAGCACTTTAGGAGTCCATACAAATCCACAGATGAAAGCCTCTGGATAGATTTATTTTAATTAATGCATCATGCCAAGCATATGAAGCAACATTCTACAATCAAATATTTAATAATAATTCCCAAAGGCCCAAAATGGAAAATGATGGAAAATGGAAGAAAAGGACCCCCCACACACACATATGCACAAATGTTCACACCAACGCCAAACAATGTTGAGATATACTTTAAATGGTTTAAAGGAGAAAGGAATATAAACTTGAATTCAAAAGATCATTGATTACAGAAAAATTACTGTTCTGATGGCAGATCCATGTATGGATGCTAATAGTTCTTGAATGGAGTATTAAAATATTTAAATAATAGCATTAACATCACTTAACAAGAAGCACATCACATAGTGTCAGAGGATAAATAATCTATCTGAAATAAATGCAACGTTTTTACTGCAAATGAGCTCGATTTTATAAAAATGGAAATTCTGGAGTTCTCAAGCACCTTTTTCTCGGTGACTAAAAATTGGAAGAAATATAGCCTTCAGCACCAACAGCCTCGCTCTGGAATGAATGAACGGGGTGGGGAGGAAGACAGCAGACCCTAAGAGCCAAATATACTTGCTTAACTCATGCTGCAAACAAAACAATCAGATATTTTTGTTTTTCCTAGTTTATAGGCGAGAAAACAAGGACAGGAAATTTAAATGATTTGAAGAGGTCATAGAGTTAGTAAGCAAATGCTGAGGACTGAGCTTTGAGTTTTTGACTCAAGCTTTATTGCTCATACCCTAGGACTCACTGCCCCTCAGATCAAGAGTATACCTTCTCCCTGACCCATCAGCGGCAGTAAAATCCTGAGGCCCCAGAAAAATACAGCAGAGGAAAGAAAAGTCAAGGCTTGAGTCTTTACTCTGTATTCCTAGACCTACATTCCTGATTTTTCTCAATTGTAACATATTAAGCAAAAGTAGATTTAAACTAATAATTGATGTTAAATAATTATTGAAGCATCTTAAATTTTATTGAACATGTGCTATATGGCATTTATTACTGAATTAAATAATCATATTTGATAGCGATCCTTTGAGGACACTACTGTGCCTAGGAACAACAGCCTGCACAACCTGCCCTGGCCTGGTGGCTGCAGGTGGGTAACCGGCTACGCGGACAGGTCAAACAGTGGAGAGAATGTGGACATGCTTAACACAGGAGCCCAGCTATGAACTCAGCTTTTATCGTTGCCTTGATTAAGCAACTTGTTAATATCGGCCTTTTGTTTCACATATTTTTATTTTATTTTTATTTTTTAGAGACAGCGTCTTGCTCTTCCTCAGGTCCATCTTGAACTCCTGAGTAGAAGCAGTCCACCCTCCTTGGCCCCCCAGAGTGCTGGGATTACAGGCAATTAAAACATGCCCAGCCTGTTTTATTTCTTTTTAAAAATAAGAGAAATAATGACCAAAGAGTCATTGTGTGACAATTACTAAGTGCCTAATACACAGTGACCCTCAATTACTTCCTAGCCTTAGATCCCTGCATTAGAACTGTTTAAGCAGACAACGTCAGAGCCTGGCAGCCCAGTTCAGCATCTGCCCAGCTCCACCACCCACCAGCTTCAAGCTCCTGGGCAAGCTGCAGCTGGATAAGCATCTGATACTTAGTTTCCTCGTCTGCACACCAAGGATAAGCACAGGATCAACCTCCTGGCTGAGACAATGACCTATGAAATGAACATCCCTTGGAGGAACTCAATCAGTGTTGCTATTATAATCATTCTATTGCTACAGCTCCCTCAGCTCTCTCTCTGATGAGGAGAGGAATCACAATTTGCCAGTGGGCATCACCCACTGGTGACAGAAAACAGTTGGTCACCAAGACTTATGTCATCTGTCTACCCTACCAGGGTTGGGCCTAACATCAGAAAGTATAGAAATTAATTTTGCACATTTCTATACTGCTATTCAGACTCTTTGAATCACTTCTCCCTGTGTATGCTTTCGTGGTTATATTTTCCACCAACTGAAAAAAACAAATGCTGGTGCTTTGGGGTTGGCATCTGCATACTGTGGGTCAGACCCTGACTGAGACAGCACCGTAAATCAAACCCAAATGTTAGAACTGGGAAATCTGGCTGTCAATGTCCTCTTGGTACAACTTGCCAGAAAGCGGTGAGTTTCATCACCCTGGTACATGAAGGATCCTGAACTGTAGGTTAGACCAGAAAAGAATCACCAGGTCAGTCCGAGTGGAACACTGTCACATCCAAAGACTTGAAAGAGATTTACATTAACTCCTTTGTTTCCTTTTAATTCTGTGATAATTATAATATCTCCTCTTTCATTTGTAAATCTTAGTCATTTGGGTCTTCCTTTTTCTCTGTTAGTCTTAATAAGGATTTGTCAATTTTGTTGATGTTCTCCAAAAACCAACTGTTGTTTTTAATGATTTTTGTCTATTTTTTATTCTCTATTTCATTTATCTCTGCTCTAATTCTTATTTCCTTCCTTTAGCTAAATTTTGGTTTAGTTTGTTCTTCTTTTTCTAGTTCCTTGAGGTGTAAAGTTGTTAATTTCAACTTTTTTCTTATTTTTTCATGTATTTGCCACTATAAATCTTTTTTGTATTGCTTTTACTGTATCCCACAAATTTGGGTATGTTGTGTCATTTGTCTCCAGACATTTTCTAAATTCCCTTGTGATTCTGTCTTTTTAAAAATTAAATAGCTAATAAAATTTTTGAAAAATTATTTGATGTTACAGTACTATAGCGTTATATACATGTATAATGCCATACACTTACCCTCAGCAGAGAGTATCATCTTTTTACATGGTTTCCTATTGCTACTTACCATCCTTTTGCTTAAACTTGAAAGAGTCCCTTCAGCATTTCTCTTTTAGGGTAGGTCTAGTTGTGACAAATTCCCTCAGATGCTTCTCTGGCAAAGATTTACGTTATTTTTACATATTAAAAGGACAGTTTTGCTGGATATAGCATTCTCACTTGGTAGCTTTTCTCCTCCTGCACCTTGTAGGTAGCATCCCACTTCCTTCTTGCCTACAAAGTTTCTGCTGAGAAATATGCTGGTAATGTAATAGGAGCTCCCTTTTATATGATGAATCATTTTTCTCTTATTTCTTTCTAAGTTCTCTCTTTGTAATTTTCAACAGTTTGATTATGATGTGTTTTGGTGATACCTCTCCAAAGCTATCCTAGCTGGACTTCTTTAAACTCTTGAATTTGTGTGTCTGTTTCTCCTTTAGATTTGGGAAGTTTCAGATCACTCTTTCTTCACGTAATTGCTCTGCTTCGTTCTCTTTTTCTTCTCTTTCTTCATTTCGAATGCTTCTGTTGATGGTGTCCCATAAATCCCTCAGTGTGTCTTTATTTTTCTTCATTTATTTTCTTTTTGGTCCTCTGCTTCAATAATTTTGAATGCACTGTCTTCAAGCCCACTGGTTAAGTCTGCTGTTGAGTCCTTCTGATGAATTTTTCAACTCAGCTATTATATTCTTCCCCTCCAGTATCTCTGTTCAGTTGTCCTTCATAGTTCTTCCCTTTTAGATATTCTCACTTAGTTCATGCACTGTTTTCCTGATTTCATTGTCTACACTCTCTTTTAATTCACTGAGGATCCTTATGAAGATTATTTTTAATTCTTTGGCTAGTAATTCAAGAATCCCTGTTTCTTCAAGGACTAACATTTTCTACTGCTTTTTTGTATGCTTCCTTATCTCCTGTTAAGATACAGGCATTTGGCTCGGCACCTGTGGCTCAAGTGGCTAAGGCGTCAGGCACATACACCTAAGGTGGCGAGTTCAAATCCATCCCAGGCCCGCCAAACAACAATGATGGCTGCAACCAAAAAACAGCCGGGCGCTGTGGCAGGCGCCTGTGGTCCCAGCTACTTGGGAGGCAGAGACAGGACACTTGCTTGAGCCCAGAAGTTGGAGATTGCTGTGAGCTGTGATGCCACAGCACTCTACCCAGGGGAATAGCTTGAGGCTCTGTCTCAAAAAAAAAAATACAGGCATTTGAAAACCAGCCATCTCTCTGTCTTTGTGATCCAGTTTTGTATAGGGAAGACTTTAAATATTCAGACAGGCTACAGACTCTGGAGCCCTTTCAAGCTCTTTCTGAGGACGTGCTCTCTC